TTTCTTCAAAAGTATAATTCCTGATACGAAAAAAGCTATTGCATCAGCTGAAAAGTCCATTGACCTGTTAGAGAATAAATGCCGGTACTTGGAGAATATTATTACTGCTAAAGATAGAAAAATTATCGCTCTTGTCGATCAGATTCTGAAGCATAGTAATGCGACTATAGAACCAAAAACTTATTCTAGCAATAGTGAAAGGAAATTATGGGCGAAGAGGCGTAGCGAATCTGAATATGATCTAGAAGTTCAGAAAAAATATACATTTCAGGATTTGGCAGGTAAATGATTATCTGAGACAATTGATTGCTTGGAATAGCTAGTTAGAAGTATTGCCTAACGATTTGATTTCCCTTTCCAAATTGAGCGGAGTGTCCCATCGAAGTGAAAAAGATTCAGATCTTGGTTTATTTATATCGATGACCACAAATTCCTTTTATCTCAAATAACCATCGAGGACCTTTGAAGCTTTGTGCAGATCAGCATCTGTATAAGAACTTATAATGTCAGCAAGTTTTCGTATTGAATCTTCACCACTGAAGAGTACAATATGCGTTGCATTTTCACGAATATCTGTAGGAATCCTGTGAAATTTTTGTGAGACATAAATAGAAGAAATATTCTCGTGGCGACCTCTACTAAAATATGGAATAATTTTTTTCTGTATAACTGGAGGGTCCGAACAGACATCCTCAAATATCATTAGTGTACTTCTTTTAGCATTGAACTTTTTTGGATCTGGAATTTCATCAGGAGTGAGTGTAGAGAATGTAATATCTTCATAGTATAGCTTGGATTTATCTTGCGCGAGATATTTATAAAAATTTTGAACGATACCGTATTTAGGCTCATCAAGGTGGTGGCCACATAATATCATATCGTCACATTTAACATTACGCTCACCTATTTTAGAACTCTTTTTTTTCCTAAACATGTAGTAAAATTTGTTCATCACTAGCAAGTTTAGAATCATATTTGTTTTACCCGAATTGCTAGCCCCTGCAACTATAATTCGAAATGGCCATGGCGGTACGTGAGGATCACCCTGATACTTTTTCAAGGACTTGACTTCATCTACCGCGAATATTACGTATTTCATGATTCGATCTAACTAATTATTATATTGAAAAATAATGTAACAAGTTCTGGCAATAAATGTTCTACCCAATTTTTAGATTGCTTTACCCACTTGCATCGTCCAAATATCCCTTTTCGATTAATGTATGTCTAATGAACGGATAAAAATCCGCAGTATAGGGCACTTCGATAAGACATATGGCTTGCTCCTTGCATATATCTCGCTTCTTCTGATCATGCATTTTCTGTTCATCCAAATCTATCTGGCCTCTTCTATGAAACATTGAATTAAGACTATAGTGTTGCTTGCCATGA